CTGCCGCTGCTGGCAAGTGTCATGAGGTTTGCTTTGAACAGTTTGAGGTATAGTTTCCCAGAAACCTCGCACCTATCCCCTTGAAACTTGGCAAGCTTCATGCCCTCAGAAGGGGCTACCATCCCTGCAAGTTTCACCTGAATCAGGCAAGAAATTACAGAGTTTTAGGCATTTTCATGATTCCCCATTTATAGCCTATGGGTGAAACGTTGGAACAGCATCGAAACAGCGAAACAGTTTTGACGAAATGAAACAGACAGTGCTTTCAAAACAAAACTCAAAATGAGAAACCCTGTCCCGGCGAAACGGAAGTCGAAACAAAACGGTGCTGTTTCGCACAGCCTTACTGCACAGTAATGTTTTTGGTTGGCAGTTGGTAAGTCATTTGTTGTTGACAAGCAAGTAACTAGAGTGCTGTCAAGAGAGAAGGTTGGTGGCTATAACTCATTGTGGAATATAAAAATGGCTGGAGCCTTCCCCAAAATGGGCAGACTAAAGGTATGCTCTCGTTCCTTAAGAGAGGATTATCAAAAAGAAAACTGTGCTGGCATGAGATTTCATATTCTAAAAAGAGAAAAGAGTGATGGTTTTGCAAGTGCAAATGATTGCACTATATGCTTGTCCATATTGCTCAGTAATAGAACAGGCATTCATTTAAGGGGAGGATTTTGCACTATAGAGTATTGAGAACACGTGTCTAATAGGTACATTCATTTTATGCTCATTCAGTGAGCTGGCCTGATTAATTAGTGTGCGTCACCATCTGGTACTTACTGAGACTATACCTTTTAAAAATGTTGTAATCGTAGGAAATGGCGCACACCAATTAAGTTCCTTTTAACTGGATTATGTTGGTATAATAAAGTATTAGTGGAGAAGGCCTTAATTCGATTCAGTCAGCATGCATCTAAGGGAGATCTGCCAGTCTGAAATTATTTAGAACAAAGGAAAAATGCCCAAAATGTTGTATGGAAGAAAGAGGGAGAACGTCTGAAATGCATGTATTGGTGCTGCTATGCACACAATATGGAAGACGTTCGTAAATAAGAGCCACAAGAATACCTCTGCATTTCTGTTTAGAGTTGAAGGACCTGATATCAAAGTGTTTCAAGATCATCTCTTCAGCCCTAAGACCCTTGAATCTGTCATCTTCTCTCACTGTGCTCCTCTGAAAAGTGAAATTCAAAGTTTTGATTTCAAGCGCACAGAAATGTATGTTGTTCAGCCCTCACATAAACAGTTGCATAGATCTTGAAGTCCTTAGTTTATACCAATGACATCAGGATGTTATTTGGCTAATAATGTTTTTACTAACTCATCCCTTTGGTAACTGGAGCACCAAACGACAAGGCAAGATCTGGACTTCTGTTCTGGTTTCTGCATTTGACCTACTGAATGAACTTTAAGTCATTTAAGCCCCCCTTGTATAAACTATATTGGTAATACTTACTAATTTCTGTAAAGTGCTTTGAAATATTAGGGGTTAAAAAAATTATATCGGCATCTTTTTTTTTTTTCATTATGCTTCAGCTGTTACGTGGTCTTTGACTGGAAAGGTGTAAATTATGGAGGAAGGGCCAGAGCAGGTATTTGAAATATCTGGAGAGTGATAAGAGAATATCCAGGGGTGTAGGTTGTAGCCGTGTTGGTCTAAGGACATAGACAGACAAGGTTCCTTGGGTGAATCTGATATCTTTTATTAGACCAACCCAAATAGTTGGAGAATAGTTATTAAGCAAGCTTTCGGGTTCAAAAACCCTTCATCAGGCTAAGGAAGTTTCAGCAGTTGGTGTGTGCTCTTCCTGGATGGAATGAAAAGTAAAGAAGTAAAGAGAATATCCAGGCATATATGTGCCTGTCTAGTTTACTTCATGAGCACTTTGTCTTTTGAACAGTGGATCAAAATAAATCTGCAAGCAAACAAATATCTGAACCAAATGAAATTTAAAACCATTCCTTTCTCAACCTGATATACTTTTTTATTTATATTCATTATTTCCAGTGGAGTCTGCTGCCCCCCTTTTAAGCAACAGTAATTGCTGGTAATAACATTCAAAACACCATTCAGAATACGAGGGAAGCATGTTCTTAGGTATGCGTTATTACAGAACATCATGTTTGCTATGAATTCAGTCTATAATGTAGCTAAATGTAGCTAAATTGCCTTTGGTATTCAAATAGGAAAATTACATATGTTTGAATTCCATTTTTTTTTCCAGTACAAATTTCCCATAGTTGGAAGGTTCAGAGTTCCCGTCTCATAGGTGGAGGTGATTTCAGAGGATGTTACAAGGAATGCTCACAAATCTAGCACCCTGTGACTGTCTACACCAGTTGGAAACTAATCTGTAGTTTATGAGCTATTAAGTGACTGACTTTTACCCACTTCACAGGGTATGTCAGAAAATCATACGATATCAAGTGGTTATGTTTAAAACCACTTGCATTAAGTGATAATGTTCTAAAAATGTAAAGGACATATATATGCCTAGTCTGTTCTCTGTGCATTTATGTGCGCGCGCGCACGCACACACACACACACGTATGTATGCATTATTTCTTTTTAAAGCTACATTTTTAGAGTGGTGCCTTTGGGATATGTAGTATTATGTACAGCAGTGACCATGCATCATATTATACTCTCATTTGAGTGAAGGTTTTTTAAGTCCAAAAAATAACCTGCTTCTACATTTCTTATGTATGATATTCAGATTCATTTTTCAGAAGTTTCAGTCCAGCTCTGATTTCGAGTAGGAAAACTGTTGATCAGTCTTGATATCTCTGACCAAGTGGGAGTAAATAAAGCCAGTAAAATAGTATTAAAGCCTTGTCATAACCTGAAGATGTGAAATATGCCATTTTTCTGTCATTTTTTACCAAAGCCTAATTAGCAAAAAATGTGTAACCTAAAAGACACCGGTCCATAAAATTGTCAATTTTGTGATGGGATTTCAAAGCCAGGGTGTTTTTTCCAATGCCCTGGTACCAGTGGTACAGTACCAGCTAACCAAACCTTAAAAACACACTTGCACTTCCCCTTTTGTTTGAATTGTTTGCTCAGATATTTTATGGAATAGGAAGGTGTATTTTCTAAGAAAACATTTAATTTGGAATCAGGACAGCATAGCTTTATTTGTTTATTTATATGGCTTCATGAAAGTAAGGAGATATGAATGAGAGATTTTAGTCTGCTTGTTCTCTCTCATATATTTTTGGAGACTTATTTCTCATAGTACCTTTTGTAATAAGAGTACATGGGGTGGTGGAGGGTTGAACTAGCAAAGCTTGAAAAAGTTCAGTAAAGCAATAAGAAGGAAAAGTCATTTTACTCAGTGCTATAAAAACCGTTGTCTTAACATTTGAAAAGATCTGTATCTAACAACACTTGTATTACTTCAGTCATAGAGGGAGCTTTTGGCACTGTCTTCACAGCAAAAAGCTTTGTCTCTAAACATATTTAGTCAATGTATGAAATATGAGAGGTCTAGTACTATGTGAGAGGAAACTTGCACAGTTAGACTTGAGCCCCATCTGGTGTTTGAACAGAGTTGGTATCTTAATATGGCTTTCTTATATTATAATTGAAATAGAAAGGCACTGAGCCAAAACATAGTACTGCAGTCATTGTGACTGACAGATAAATGCAAGTGTCAAATTTTATTAATGCCTTCTATTGTATACAACAGTGCAATAAAAGCATGTTTTTGATTACCTCTAATATAACATTTTTTGTTGATACAATGCCAACCACCGAGTCAGATACATTTACTATACTTTTGACTGGATAAGTTAATTAACTCACTTTACATTTTATGTTTATTTATGTGATCAAAAATGTATACTGTTTATTCAAACAGTAACACAGCAGAAGATATTGCTTTTTGATTCTTTTGCATTTACATGAAAAATCATAAACCCATTGGACCAGATTCATTGAAGTTTCATCAGGGAGGAATTATTTTAGATGATTTAAATTAGTGGGGCATTGGTTCTTGAAAGACTTAAACCCTGCGTGTTTCAAAAATCATAGTATGTAGATCATTCATGTCTCTTTTTTCATTTTTTAGGGCTGATAGTTTCAGGAAGTGATCAAGCTCATGTTCAAATAGTTTTCCAGTTAGCTGAGGGAACCATCTACTTGTATTGGAGAAACACAGGTGAAAGTTACCAGTGACCAAAAGAAATTTTCTTGCCATTGATGCATGATTTAAGTTCAGTTTATTGTCTCTGTTTTAACCTTACAAAAGATAACACTCCTTATCCAAGTTTTATCACAGTGTTAAGATTTTCTGAAGATACTGTCCCATTGGCCTTTATCTTATTCTCTTTTTGAAGTTGCCAGTCATCCCTTGGCTAGAGCTCTTGCCCAGTAATAATCTGATCTTAATGAAAAAATGATTAAAGAGACTGAAGATCTTTTAGTCAGGTAACTAAATTAAATTGAATTACTTGGGCAGGCTTTCCCACAAAAGCAATAGCCTTTTCACCTTTGAACCTAAAACAAATTATTTAAACACCAGAAAACAGAACATATTCTTTAATCATTCCTGTCTTGTATTTTGGAGGTTGTTTCTATGAAGATGCACTTTTTAATTTTAATTTTTAATATATCTTTTTGGGGGCAAAATAAAAAGTCCATGGCCCTGAACTAGCAGAGGGGTTAATTATATATTTTCAGTCACTGTCACTTTTCTCAGTGTGTTAGCATTGCTAAATTTACACAGACATAGTTGCCATGCATAAAACTAGCTCTTTGTCTTTAATCTTTATACACAGGATGCCTGCTCTATATACGGCCTGTTTTGCATTTCAGATATTTGGTTTTAGAAGTGAGTAACATGAGATAAGCTGTCAACAAGAGATAAGGTGGTTCTTTTATGTCATTGCTAAGAGTGTGGCAAAAGGAGAAAATGAGAATATGAGTAAAGAGTCATTCACCAAATGTCATTGACTGGTGTTGGTTTTTCCCATTCTTATCCTTCATTCTCTTTCGTTTTTAGAATGATCACCACTTTAAAGAGTTGCCAGGATAAGTGAACAAAGTGAAAACAAATGGATGAAGTTCTTACCATGCACTAAACAGTGGAACATCAGGTGCCAAGCTCTGTGAAAATGTCTGCTTGCAACACCTTCACTGAACACGTTTGGAAACCTGGTGAATGTAAAAATTGCTTCAAGCCTAAAAGCTTGCACCAACTACCCCCAGCAACTGAAAAGGCTCCCCTCTCCCATAGTAATCTGAAAACCAATGCAAACCAAAGTAACAATCAGCGTGGTAGAAATACAGGAAATTTCCGACCTCCTGTCGCAAAGAAACCCACTATAGCTGTGAAACCCACCATGATGGTGGTAGATGGGCAGAGTGTATGTGGTGAAATCAGCACACCAGATCATTGTGAGAACAAGCCTGTAGTTGCAGGATGGAACCGAAACAAAGCGGTTTTGAACAATAAGCCACTGAACAATAATAACGAAGATGAAATTGAAGGTTATAGTCATGTTCATAGGCCTCATGGCAACAATGATAGTGTAGGTAAGATACCAAATAACAATAATAACGGACTGACAGAAGTGCTGAAGGAGATTGCAGGTTTGGATACCACACCTCAGCAAACAGGAAAGGAAATGAACTCAAGGGAAACCTTCTTGGGAAGAATAAATAATTGCTATAAAAGATCATTAGAAAGAAAGATCCCTCCAAGTTGCATGATGGCTGCAGTGAAGGATGCACATAGTAAACATGTTATTCTGAGTGGGAGCACTGAAGTAATAAGTAACGAAGGTGGGCGTTTCTGTTATCCAGAGTTCTCCAGTGGCGATGAGAGTGAAGATGATACATTTTTTGGCAGCATGCAAGAAGAGCACGAGAGCTGGGATGAAAGTGATGAAGAACTGTTAGCAATGGAAATTCGCATGAGGGGCCAACCTCGCTTTGCTAACTTTAGAGCGAACACCCTGTCTCCTGTCCACTTTTGTGCTGACAAAAAATGGAACACTGTGCCTCTAAGGAATAAGTCTCTTCAGCGGATCTGTGCTGTGGACTATGATGATAGCTATGATGAAATTTTAAATGGTTATGGAGAAGGGGCTGTGATCCTTTATGGACAGGAAAGCATGCAGAGCATGGCATCTTCTGATTCCACATCTCCTGATTCCTCTTTGACTGAAGAGTCTCGCTCTGGAACAACCAGCAGTTCATCACAAAAACTCTGCAATGGAGGGTTATCTCCCAGTACCCCTCAGGATATCAAATTGATTGAACCAGAATATGAGACTCTTTGTGATAATCAGCAAGGAAAGGATATGTCAAAAGTTGCCAGAAACACTACAGAAGTTGTAGAGACTCACAAGGCAGTCCTTGCACTTAGACTGGAAGAGAAAGGTGGCAAGATTGCTGTGCAAAGCGATAAGCAAGAAAGCAAAAGTTCTCCAGATGTTACTGGTCAAGCAGTTACTATAAACTTAGTTCCTATAGAAGAACAAGCTAAACCTTACAGAGTGGTCAATATGGAACAACCCGTGTGTAAGCCTTATACTGTAGTAGATGTGTCAGCAGCCATGACTACTGAGTGTAAGGAAGGTCAGACTGAAAGCTCAGAAACCAAAAGTACACCACCTAACCCAAATTCACCAGGAGCTCCATATGCACCTGTTACACCTGCATCATCTGGGCAAGTAAATGCCAATCTAAAAAAATCAAGTGCAATCAGATACCAGGAAGTATGGACTTCTAGTACAAGCCCACGACAGAAGATAGCTAAAGTGGAATTAGCAGCTAACAGTTCAGGACCTTCTGTCCCTCCTAGAAAGAGCAGCCACAAATCTGCTCCTACATCACCTACAGCCACAAATATTTCTTCAAAAACTATCCCAGTTAAGTCACCCAATTTGTCTGAGATAAAATTCAATAGTTACAACAATGCTGGTATGCCACCTTTTCCAATTATCCTTCATGATGAGCCTACTTATGCAAGGAGTTCCAAGAATGCTATCAAAGTTCCCATTGTAATTAATCCAAATGCATATGATAACTTAGCCATCTATAAAAGTTTTCTGGGGACTAGTGGTGAGCTGTCCATCAAAGATAAAACTTCAAGTGTGATAAGCCATACATACGAAGAAATAGAAACAGAGAGCAAAGTGTCTGAGGATGTAGCCAGCAAACCCACTGAATTTACTCAAGCAAAAGGAATTTCCAGTAGCACAGAGCACAGACTGGGTTCTGTGGCCCAGAAAGTCCAAGAGTTCAATAGCTGTCTCAGCAAAGGTCAGACATCACCACAAAGAAGTCAGAGTTCCTGCCACAGTTCCCCAGCAAGAAACCAGAAGCCAGCACCAGAATCTGCAGCCAAAGTGGAAGGGGCACAAGAAGCTTCCATTGGAAACAGCAACAGAGAGAATGCAAGCACAGTTCTTTCTCAGATTGTGGCTTCTATCCAGCCTCCACAATCTCCTCCAGGAACACCGCAATCTGGACCCAAATCTTGTAGTGTAGAGGAATTATATTCCCTACCGCCTGATGCAGATACCACTAAAAGCACTCTGGTACGACCCAAATCCCTCTTTACAGCCCAGCCCAGCAATGAGACTGAGGCATCCAAGTCCACAGAAATCACTACCACTAAAATGCAAAAGGATACACTTTCAAAGCCAATTCCTTCCTCAAAGACAGCAACCAGCATCCATAACACCACAAGTCCCAAAACTGAGCAGGCACCTCCATTCCCTCCTCCACGTTCCACATCTTCACCCTATCATGCAAGTAATCTGTTGCAAAGACATTTTAGCAACTGGAACAAACCAATCAGTCCCACTAGATCAACAGAGGCTGAATCAGTACTCCATTCAGAAGGGCGACGAGTTGCTGATGCAAAACCAAAGCGCTGGATATCATTTAAAAGCTTTTTCCGTCGCAGAAAGACCGATGATGAAGATGAGAAAGAGAAAGAAAGAGAAAAAGGGAAACTGGTGGGTCTTGATGGCACTGTCATTCATATGCTCCCACCTCCTCCAGTTCAACGTCACCATTGGTTCAGTGAGACAAAAACAGATTCCAGTGAGAAGCCATCCATTGTTTTCATGTACAGATGTGAACCAGCACATACTGAACCAACCTCTGACCACCAGAACAAAGCTGCAGTGGAGTCTCCCATTGGAGATGGATTAGAAAAAGGCAAAGCAGAAATGGAAGAGAAGTCTCCAGAGGATCCTGAACAAAAGATAAGAAGTCATTCTTCACCACCTCAGATTCCTAAAAAAATACCCAGGTAAGCCACTTTTAATAATAATGAATACATGAATGAAAAAGACAAGCGTGCTATACATTTTGCGGAACCAGGAAGGGATCTAGGAGTTTTGTAGAAATGTTTTCATGTGCACATATAATATTTTTACAGTCTGTACATTGTATTGGTTAGTATCTCTGATTTGCACCTTTCTAATATGAACAGCACCTATTATTATGAGTTATGCTTCATGTTCATTAGTGTATTAGGGTGGACGTGTTGCACAGATTCAGGAAAACAGTCCTTGATTTTTCAGTTTAAGATAGTATTTATATGTTATAGGATGACTGAAAAACTGCAGAAGAGAAGTAAGAAGCAAATTACCTTCTACCTATTTAACTATCATTAATTGGAGGGTGAGATGATTAACTTTATCACATAACAGTAACAGTTTATGTGCAGTTAACATTTATACCATAATTTAAGATGATACAACATGATTAAAAGTATACATAAAATAATAATGGGATTATTTTGTTTATACCACTGGTTCTCAAACTTTTTAGATTCAAAGCACCCCTGGATAGATTGGAGGTATCCCTTGGAAAATGCCAACTCTTAGTTTTCACTCTTTTTGACTGCAGAAAAATAGTAGAGCAGTTTTTCTTTTGCAAAGAACTCAGAAATCAATAGTTGTGGTATTTCTAGTTGAAATCTCTGGGTCTAGCTTGTGAATCATGTTTCCATACCTAATAGTGTTAATGTTGTGTGGCACGCCATGTCACCATTGAAAGGAGCTCATGGCACATCAGGGTGTCAGAACACTCTGGTTGAGAATCACTGGTTTATAGTCTCACCACTTTCTAAGACCTTACTTGTGATAAGTACACTGGGCCACCTCCTCTCTGCATTGACTTTAGTGGTGCTATATGTATTTGCCCCTGTCTGAGGAACTGCCCCACCAATTTTCAGATTGTAACTATTTTAAAATAAAACTTAATTTTGACAAATGAGTCATTATTAATTATTCCTATTTTATACAAAAAAAAATTGATAAAAAAGAGGGAGGAAGTATATATTTATGGCAGCTCTTCAGGTATTTGAAAACTGCTGTCTTGTCCCCTCTTGAGTGCCTTTTCTGCAACCTGATCATACCTCTCTCTCAACTTCTCCTTGTGTGGCTTACCATCTAAGCCATTTATCATTTTTGTCACCTGCCTTAGGACCCTCTCTACCTTCCTCACATCTTTTTGAAAATGTGGAGCTCAGAACTGCATATGGTACTTTAGATGAGGCCTAACCAGTACCAAGTAAAGTAGTACCATAACCTCCAGTATCTTGTGTTTAGTAGTCCTGTTGATGCAGCCCAAGACTGCGATCACCGATTTTGTGGCAGCATCAAACTTCAGGCTCATGCTGAGTAACAGGTTTAGTCCTAATTTATCCAGGTTTAAATTTACCATTGTTGGGGCAGGTTTAAACAATTTTAGGGATTATATCATGTGTTCACAATTTTTTTTAAATGGGGATGGCTTGACTTGCCACAGGTTATTGGTGTGTCCATTCCCTTAGTTCAGGGGTGCTTAACACTCGGCCTACAGGCCAGATCCAACCCCTGGCACAACGTCATCCAGTCCATGGGGTTCCCCACAGGCTATGACCCTTCATGCTAGATCTGGCACGTGAGGGGCAGTGTGGAGCCGCCAGAGCTCAGTCTCACCCAGGAGCTCCGGGGGCTCACAGGTGAGGGCAGACACCACTGCCTTAGTGCAGTATACTGTCTGCATCTGCTGGGTAGGAAGAGTTGTAACCCAAGCTGTTGGACTTGTGTCAGAAATCTCAAAGAAAGAATGGGCAGGTAGGAAAAAGATTTCAATTCCAGATGGGGACAGATTTTCAGAAGTTCTAAACATCCATCAGACCATTTGATGTCAGTGGGGGTTGAAACTGCTTGAACTTGTAAACAAGGCCCTAAAATGATAAAAGAGAAGTGCGTGTACATGATCTTAAGAAGTAGCACTACCTTTATGATGTATCTTTAGGTGTAGGCTGAAGATGCCTTGTGTTCAGCCACCCTAAGGATGATGTTCTTACCTTGTTTACCCTGGAGTGTCTTTGTACTGTTACTATTGATCACAGTTAGTCTCTCTCCTTCCTCCCACATCCGCCCCACAGTTTTTCCCCTCCAAGTCATAGTGATACAGTCTAAAATCTTAGGTCAAAAATTTTCATGGGTAATTAGACTTCCTCTGTTATGGATTCTGTTTTTATTTTTAAAAAATAATAATAATTTGAGTTTTAAAGAGTCATGTAGGCAGAACAGGATACAGTAGATATCCTTCTTTTTTGTTCCCTTCAGTTATTTATTTTTGTTGCCATGTAATTTAATGCCATAAGAACTGATTTTTACTTGGATTTTGACCACTAGTAAGCAGAAGAATGAAGAGAGGGAGAGACTCCTACAATGCTGAAAAATAAGCTATTCATATTGAAGGATTTGGAATTTATTTCTCAGTTTTCCAGTAGTTGTCAGCCAGGTCTGCCAGTGTGGAAATACACACCAATAGGAAGTATATCTGACTTGCCAAACAATATTAGATTTTGTATTAACTAATCAAATGCTAGTTAAAGGCTAATGATAATGTACACTAAAATATATGAAATAAAAAAAGTTTAAATCTTCAGCTAAAGACTGCAGAAGGCTTACAGGAAAACTGATTATGTGAAGATAACAATCGGTGAACATGACACTTTTCTAACTGAAAATCGCAACATCTGTGAAGCTCACTGAGAGACCAAATTGATAACCTGGAAAATAGGATAGTATTAAGAAAAATGTCAGTGTGGTAGGGGGTCCTGAAGGTGTACCAACAGGAAGAACTGAGAATATTTTTACCCTGCAGTGGATTATGAAGGTGGTGGAGGATTGATAATTTCGTAAGCCTTTAACACTGGCTGTGATATTGCTGAAAAGGCCAGTTCTTCACTCACAGCAGAGCTTGCAGGATATGCAGCTTGAACTGAGGAATAAATAAGCCTGTTTTACGGGTCCCTCAGGTGTTTTATCCACAGATAGTTTTGTGTCTCCTTGGCATTAGGTTATCTACACTGTGGTTAGAAAAGAATCCAGCAGATATGGAATTAGTATTTTTTGAGGGTTTCTCTGAAAACCAAAAGGTGTTTTTAATTTTTTAGGACTCTGTACGGAGACTTGGTCTAACCTTTATAAGTGTGACTAATTTTTTTTTTTTTTTTAATCCTGGTAATTGTTTTAATCGTGTTCGTAGATTACAAATATTTGGTTTGATGGTCCAGTTATTAATCCTGCTGTTCCTGGAAAGCTGAGGTTTTTTTCTAGGAAGTCACTGACAGGGTTTTGTGTTTTATCTGTGCAGACTCCAAGATAGCAAGAAAAGAGGTTACAAATAGAGGTGCACCGATACATTGGTCCGATCTCAGATCGGCACCAATATAAAGAAAATTGACTGTATCGGAAATCAGCTTTTTTTTGCCTGGTATGGCCGATAATTTGGCCAATAAAAGCTCTGGGCACGCACGCAGCCTCAGCACAGTATGTAGGTGGTGAGGAACACAGCCCGGCAGCGTGGAGAGCTGCATCCAGCTGGTAAGTCTGTTGTGATGCAAGGGAAGGGGCATGGGGGGTGGGGTGCATATCAAGGCCCCCACAGTGAGGGAGAGAGTGGGGCTGGGGCAGGGGCTGCCTAGCTGGGGCAGGATGGGGCATGGGACGGAGCCACAGCCCGTCCAGGGGGAATGGGGGGGTGGCTCCCACCACTGCGCACACCCCGGGAGGTCATGGGCATGTGCCCGTGGGACTGAGGGTGCTGCGCAGGGGCTGGGCTGAGCTGGGCTTGGGGCTGTCTGGGCAGTGGCAGTGGCACTGGGAGAGGGGGCTGGGGGGCTACAGCAAATTTTGGGGTAGCTG